ATCTGCTAGAAATGTAGGGAAATAGGAACAGGGGCTTCATTTTATCCCCTGAAGCATGGAGCCCAGTGCCTAGACAACATCTAGAACATACAAGGTGCTGAGTAAATAGAGGTGGAAACACAAACGCCTTTTCCCTCTGTCTGGTTCATTCACTAACGCCATCAATCCAGAGCCTGACCACAGCGAAGAGTACCCCCTACTCACCGCAGCTAGAGAAAGCCCACACACAGCAGCAAAGAGCCCGTGTGCCACAAGAAAGACCTGGAGCAGCCATAAGTAAATGAATAAATAAACCTCAACTAAAAAAGTAGGTTAGGGGCCAGATGTGGCCCACAGACCATGGCTTACTGATCCCTGATCGAGGAAATACAATGGAATATTACTCAGCCACTAAAAAGCATGAAATAACGCCATTTGAAACAACATGGATGAACCTAGAGATGGTCATGAGAGAACTAAGCCAAACAGAGGAGAAATACCGCATGACATCCCTTATAGGCAGAATCTAAAAAGAAATGATACAAATGAACTTATTCACAAAGCAGAAACAGATTCACAGAGAGGAAGGATGGGAGGAAAGGATAGTTAGGGAGTTTGGGATCAACATATACACACTATTGTCTTTGAAATGAATAACCAATAAGGTCCCACTGTATAGCATAGGGAACTCTGCTGAATGTTATGTGGCAACCTGGATGGGAGAGGAGTTTGGGGGGAAATGGATACGTGTATATGTATGGCTGCATCCCTTTGCTGTCCCCTTGAAACTATCATGATATTGTCAATTGTCTGCTATTTATAAAGTAAAAAGATTTTTTTAAAGACTTTTAAAAAAGGGATGGAGATCTCATTTGGGGAAAGAATCTTAGGAACTTGTTTGGAAATCAGCGATTTTTAGAAGATGGCTGCTCACGTCTACGGATTCTGTCGACTTCAGCTGCAGTATTTCTCAGTCTCCAGCCGCCCCCTCCCTGCTCACTTCAGACCGTCCCCCACAGTCTGAATTAGCTCTGGCCAGTCTATCCTGTTGGGCTTCCCTGGGGGCTCAGACGGTAAAGAATCCACCTGCAGTGCGGGAGACCTGAGTTTGATCCCTGGGTTGGAAAGTCCCCCTGGAGGAGGGCATGGCACCCCACTCCAGTATTCTTGCCTGGGGAATCCCATGGACAGAGGAGCCTGGTGGGCTACAGCTGAGGAGATCACAAAGAGCTGGACATGACTGAGCGACTAAGCACAGCAGCGCACAATCTATCCTCTTATTGTTTGTCCTGAATTCAGTGGGTTTTGTACACTGACAGACTCTCTTGGTTTGTCTCAAGTCTGAAGTCAAGGCGAGATTCTGTCAGCAACCAAGGACCTCTCCTCAGTCCTGAATGGCAGGTTTTTCTTCCAATTCCAGAACTTGTCCCTATACATGCGCTAAGTGAATACTTACACCAACACTAGCTTATCTACTTGGTTCATAATACTGTGCAGCATTCAATACCTTGCTCCATTAAATCTGTTTGTACATTTTATCTTTGTTTCAAAAAACTCCTAACTAAGGCTAGCATATCCTTGAACTCCTGGCAAAGATTAAATGTTAATAAAATAATATACCCATAAAAAATGGATAGAGAAATGTTAAGCATGCAGATTAAAATTTTAATTGTGTGCATAGCCAATACATTGTGAATAACAAAAAAATTGAGGAAATATTCTTGCAATATTTAAAAACTATCATCCAATTCAGCAAAGTTACCTATGTCATTGACCAACGATTGATGGTCCAACATAACAGCCATGCTGTTTCCCTTTCTACTTACTTGTTACATAAAGGTAAAGTCAACCCACATTCATGTAGGAACTGCACTTGTTCATCAACCGAAACAATGGATCAGCTACATTCTGGATCCAAGAGCCCAGAGCAAAAATCAACAAAGGCATCTTAGGGAAATCCATTGGCTCTAAGAAATTTGGCTTCTCTGGTGTCTCAGATGGTAAAGAATCTGCCTGCCATGCAGGAGGCCCAGATTCTATCCCTGGGTCTGGAAGATCCCCTGGAGAAGGGAATGGCTACCCACTCCAGTATTCTTGCGTGGAGAATCCCAAGGGTAGAGAAGCCTGTCAGGCTACAGTTGATGGGATCAGACCCAACTGAGTGACTAGCACACACTCATAAGAAATTTACAGTAAAGAGTATTGTATCATTTGCAGTTTGTAAATTGTGTTTGCTCATTGTTTATGTCAATAAGCATTTAGCAACACTCCACTGGACACCAGCTCTTCCTATACTGTAAACTATTTTGTTAAAGCCTGGGCCTGGTAACACAGTTTTACAGCTTTTGAGAATAAGTCACGTACCATATGGCAGCTCAGAGAAGACGCCTGAGGTACACAGCCCGTCTGCCCAAGGCATCCGTAAGGAACTGGCTAATCTAGAAGCCATGAGCTCTGCAGGGTCCTGCACTCTCTTAGTTGAACCCCTAACATTCCAAAGGCAACTACATTCTCAAGTTCCTACACACTCCTGGGAAAATCCTATTTTCAAACCAAAATTGAATACATGTTCTGAAAATGTCTGTTACACATGAAAACTAAGAATATTATAGAAAAGTTAGGTCTTAAGGTCATATTCTTGGACTGCATAGCTTCTGGCCCTATGACGAAGGCGTTCACTCTTGAGATAGTTTTAAAGCATTGACCAATCAATCCGTGCAGATCAATTATTTAAGAGAATACTTGGACTTCAAAAAAAATGAAATAATTTCAAATGCATTCCCGTTGTTCCTGAGGAAGACAATTTCTGGCCAGGACAGAGAATCAGGCCAGTCTAAGAAAAGTGGTAAGCCTGTTTAGAAAAAGTGCACCCCAGTTCCAGGATCACTAAAGCTATTTCTGGGTATAGTGTAGTCAGTCAAGAGTTGTAGCTCTGGAATTATGACTCTAAGAACTGTGGAGATTCGAGAGCTTCTATAACTGCCTTATAAGTTTGTTTGGGGACTCTGTTTACATTCCTATGGCCTGCCTCAGGATGTGTGTGCTCTTAAAGGCAGTGACTAGCTTTCCTCTTATCCCTAAATGACAGATTGCACAGCATAGTGTAGGAGCGCTAGCACTGCAAGAGGGAGAAAGGGACTCCTTGTAACTACTGGTGATAACTTAGCATCCTCAACCACTGCACTGGGACAGGGAGGGTGTGGGGTCCCAGCTCACACTTGCACGGAGGGAAAAATAGCTTTCTTGCATCAGGAGGAACACGGGCCTTGTCCACAGAAGAGCTGGGTTCAGAGCCTGGCTCTGCTCTGTGTGACCTTGAAAACACTTCTTCCCAAATACCTCCGCGTCTCCTCCAGGACCCTTAATACAAGCAACCGTCCCCTCGGCTGTGATGTCTGGTTCAGCCTTCTCTTGGCTCTCCCCAAGCCCACTCCCATCCCCTCCAATGCAATGTTCTCACAATAACCAGAAGGAGTTTTGACGCAACAAATCTCATTTCTTCCATGGCTCTTTGTTGTCTCCCTGTGTCCTCAAAAGATAATGTGTAGATTCCTTTTCAGGACACACGCACCCTTCGCCATCCGTTCCCTGCGTTTGTCCCTGGGGTGCTTTGGGCCACACCGCTCACACCATTCCATTCTTTGCTGTGGGCACACTGGTCTCTCAGTAGCCTATCCCTTCTCCAGTGGATCTTCTCGACCCAGGGATCGAACCGAGGTCTCCTGCATTGCAGGTGGATTCTTTACCAGCTGAGCTACCAGGGAGGCCCCTGCTCCTCACTTACTCAAGCCAATTCAAGTCTTGCCTGGGTTCTTCCGTCCCCATCTCCCATCTTCACACCTCATTTCATCCAGTTCACTCTTACCGGCTTATAGAACTCATGAACCGCCTCTGGAAAACCAGCTCTGGTTCTCCAGACACACCATCTCACCTGTCTTCTTCATGGCCCTTATCTCAAACGCATTGAATGAACTACTTGTAAAAGTATTTGTTTGTTGTCTGTCTTCCTTAGACAGAGTAGGAGCTCGAAGCAGTCAGGGACACGAGTGTGTGTCCTCCCCCATCACCACTCCCCAGTATCCTCATCAGCTAGCAAACAGTAGGTTCTCAGTAAATGTCTTGAATGAACAGCTGGAGTTGCTTTATTCTTTGAAATTGTTTCCTCATTTACAAATGGCAATAATGCCTACTTCATAGGACTATCACGAGCATGAAGTTAGATAACTCATGATAAAGCTCTCCCACGGTGTCCTGTATATTAGAGACACTTCATAAATGTTTGTTGAGTGACTATAAGTACTACAGCTTCTAAAATAGCACTTCTTTAAGTGGGGCCAGGAAGCAGACTAGGCTAGTAATTAGCACTTGTGAAGATTTCTTTATTAGGTGATTAACACAACTTAAACCTTGGTTATTGAGGCTAATCTATTATTAAGACAAGTGCTGTTGATTGGCACTTGCTGGGCATGGGCTGTGGCTCCGTGCCAGATCAGGACACTTGCAATATTGTCCTGGGTGATGGGCTCACCACGAGCTAGGAGATATAGACAGAAAGGGGGCTGTTTAATGGTTGGGAAGTACAAGGAGAATCCTGGTGTACACAGAGAGGCACGAGGATGCTTCCAGGCTGGTGACTTCAAAATTCAGCCCAGGACTTGGCCACCCACTCCAGTATTCTTGCCTAGAAAATCCCATGGACAGAAGAGCCTGGTGGGCTACAGTCCATGGGATCACAAAGAGTCAGACATGACTTAGCAATTAAACAACAGCAACAAATACTAAAAAAAAAGAAAAACAACAACAAAAAAGATTAATTTGTTAAAATTCAGCCCAGGACTCAAAAAATGTATCTTTCCCTCTTTCTTGGGAAATTCGTAGGTTGTGAGTTCAAACGAAGCAAATGAATAAACACAAGAAACAGAAAGACAGGAAGTACAGGACACAGGTGATCCTACACCAGAAATGGAAGATTGTTATTCCTGGGAAGATGGAAGGGGTGGAGGCTGGGAGAGCCAGCAGGAATGGCCTCCGGAGCGGGTGGAGGGGACTGCGAGAAGGGTCTGCAGAGGAAAAGGTGGAGCTGACAGACTCTCTGGTGGGAGGATCTTGTTGAGAGACGAATAGGAGAAAAGAATTGGGGGGAAGTTGGTGGTTAGAAAGGCAATCAAAGGAAAAATGAGGTAATTGTGAACTCCAGGGTGAGGGCGGTGGATGAGAACTAGTAAAAGAAAGAATATGTGCTCCTAACACATAATGTAGCTGAATTGTGGAAAAAAGGAAGCAATGTGAAAAACAGTGCTTGATGGATTTATTTCTATTTTTCTGTCTTTCCCAACTTAAAAACAAAAAACTTGTCCATCTTTGCATTTTATATTGCAGGAAAATAAGATCAACTTTTTAAAATTTTCATTGGAGTAGAGTTGATTATATTGAGTTGATTTATATTGTCTTAGCTTCTACTGTACAGCAAAGTGGATCAGTTACACATAGACATATATCCACTCCTTTTTAGACTCTTTTCCTAGATAGTCCATTACAGAGCATTGAGCAGAGTGCCCTGTGCTATAGAGCAGGTTATTAGTTATCTATTTTATATATAGTAGTGTGTATATGTTAGTCCCAATCTCATGATGAAAATCAACTTTCCAAAACCTAAAACAGAACATCAGACTTGAACAGGAAGAGGAATTGGAAAGCATGGCCTGAAGAGAATCTGTAGAAGGGAAAGGAGATTGCCCTTTGGTGATGAATTTCCACATGGTGATGGGTTAGTGCATGAGGATGTGTCTGGTCCAGAAGAGTCTCTTCCTTTCTCCCACATTCCCATCCACCAACCTCCCAACCTGGCATCCTTCTAGCATTCAGGTCCTAGAGTGCTCTCCACGCCACCTCCTCACCATCCCAGTACTGAGTCAGTGGGTAATGTGTGTGTGTTTCCTTCATTTCTGAAATGTTGCCATCAATAGGAGTCACAGAGCACTTGGTACCCATGTAACCCTCCTTTACAGCACCCAGTACAGAGAATAGGCAATTAGATACTAAAAATCCCTAATGAAGATGCAGAGGAAAGGTAATAAATCTGCAAAGTTAAACCCATGAGCTGCCTAGTCTCTCAGACCCGGATTGAATTCTAGTTCCATTCCTACGAGCTGCTGGTTGCAGGACCCTGGGCAAGGACTGCCTTCTCTGGGTTAACTTATCTATAAAGAGGAGAGTAAAACAGACTCCATCACAGGGATGTTGTGTAGATTAAGTGAGATGATGCTGAGTGACTGATGTTGTAAATGTCCAATAAATGCCAACAATTTTAATTATCTGTGTTATTTGTGGTATGAATATAGGGAAGTCCCCACAACCGATCAGTCTTGTCATATATGCCATTGATACACTCCATGATGGCAAATATTTTTAACTAATAATTATTTTTATTTTCAGCATTTTTGGAAACATAGTTAATGGTACTAAAAGGCTTACAAAAACAGCAATAGCAACAACAAAAAACAGCAAGCTCTTTCCTGTTCATCTCCCAAGTTCTATTCCCAGAAGCAAACACTTTTGCCTCTATTAGTTTTTCTTCTGATATTTGTGTCCATTTTCCTAAATAATGTCCTTATGCCAGTATTCTTTGGCATGGCAATTTTAATATAATAGTCAATAAACAGTTAGTTCTCTTATACCTTATTGTTCCTGCCCCTTCCTCCAAACTTCAGGTTAAACCTACAACCATTATCTGCATTTTAATGACTACACATGTATTTATTTTTCACCCATTAGTCAAGTAATACATCATGATTGCATTTCCTCTCTTGGAAGGTTTTTTGTTGTTGTTTTCCAGGAATTAAGCATTGCCTTCTTTACTTTTCATTTGCTTGATTTTCTTTGTGCTTTTCATTCTTTTTCACAAATGTTCCAACATATTTGTTACACACATTTTAAATACTACTTCTGAATGCTTAAGCTGATCATACATTCCTTCGTTCCCTCCCGTGGTGCTATCCTTCTAGAGCTGTCCATCCTTGCCAGCCTCACATGTAATCAGGACCCTTTGGCTGTTCCATGTACTGTGTGCTGTGAATACAGGGAAGTCCTGTTTCTCAGAACCTATTTCTTCCTCTTTTTTGATTCATGTCCTTGTTCTGATGGAGTACGTCTTCTAATACTTTGTGAGACTATGTGCATAGGAGGCAAAATTTTCATCTTTATTTGTCTGATAGTATTCTAATTCCTCCCTCACATCAGGCTGTTGGTTGAACTGGATATAGAATTCCAGGTAAAAATAATTTTTCTCTTAGAAATTTAAGGAATTGCTCCCTCCCAGTGTCAGATATTTCTATAGAGAAAGCTGATGCCATTCTAAGTTTATTGTATGTGATCCATTTCTCTGGAAGTCTTTAGGTCTCTCTTGTCCTAAAATTTCCTAAGGATGGGTTTCAATGTGGTTTTTTCCCAAAATTTTTATCCATTTTCAGGGGTACAGGGTAAGTCTTTTCAATCTGGAATCCCACAGCCTTTTGTTCTACACTCTTTTCTTAAAATGTTTCTCCTTTCTTTTTCTCTATTCTCCTTCTGAAACTTCTTTTGGTCATTCACAACCTCCTGGGTTGATTCTCCATTGTTGTTTTTGAGATCTAAAGTTTTATGGCTTAAACATGATCTTCTAACCTTCTGTTTAAGTTTTTGTTTTTATTCTGTCATTTATGTTTTAGATTTCTAGGAACTCTTTCCTCTTCTCTGATTAATGTTTCCATGGCAACTTGTATTTCTTTCAGAGATATTTGGGTTGGCCAGAAAGTTCATCTGTGTGATGGTACAGAAAAACCCGAACGAACTTTTTGGCCAACCTAATATATCTTTCCAAAGGACAACGATTATATGAAGGCTTTTATTTTAAAACTTAATTTCTTTTCCTTGGCATTTCTCTGCTCTTTACATTACCAGGTTCTTTTTTCTTTTTAGTTATTTTATTCTGCCACTGATATTGAAAGTTTCATCAAAAGTAATCCTTTCTTTCCATGATGAAAACCAAGTTACTGTGACAACTGATTAGAAGTTCTGTATTAAAGGTCAGGCCTAACTGGTGGCCACCCTGGAAACTGATCTAGTAGTGAGCTGCTCTTCTACTGGAGTGCTCTCAAAAATAAGGATCTGGGTGTTCTCTTGGATGACTCAGTTTCTCCAGAAAGAAATCTCCCAGTCTTCTACCTGGGGGCAGGCTGCAAGTGCTGATCTAAGCCTGGCAGCGAGCATTCTAGAAGAAGCCAAGATCTCAGGAATAGTCTTTCCTTTCTTCCTCATTTTCAGGATGGGATTTCACCCTGAACGCCACCATCTCTTGGTCTCCCAGGGCAGAGCAAGGGGACAGGCTATAAAGTCTCCTGACTGTTTGGCATGGGGAGAAAAAAAAAGACCTTGACATCCAAATTCTCTATATTCTGAATTTCAACCAGAATTTATTTATTTTTTGCTACTTATCATAGCACCTGTTATTTCTAAGCCTCAGCCTTTCTATAGGGTCTGACTAGTAAAGTAGCTTCTTTCTCCATTGGTTACCCCACCCGCATTCTTCATTCCCTCGAAACCACTTAGGTTTTCGCTTCCTCTGTTCTGGTAAGTCAATTTCCATTTCTCCAAATGTTTTCCATATTCTAAAATTTGTTGAATTGTCTTGCCCAATGATATCTCTTCTTCCCCATTTCTCTTTGTTTTACACTATCCCTTTTTTCAAGTTGAAGTAAAATTCATATAATAAAAAATTTATTTAAACCACTGTAAAGTGTACAGTCCGATGGCGACTAGTACATCCACAATGGTGTGCAGCCATCAGCTCTCTCTAGTTCCAAAACATTTCATCACCCGTAGAGGAAAGCCTGTGCCCATTAAGCAGTTACTCCCTACTCCTCCCTCCTAGCCACGACCAACCTGCTTTCCATCTCTATGGATTCACTTGTTTGGAATCTTTTTTAAACAAACAGAATCAAACAGTATGTGGCATTTTGTGACTGGTCTTTTTCACTTAGCATAACATTTTCAAGGCTCCATGTTGTAGCTTACAAGAGCATTATATTCCTTTTTATTCTTTCATTCCTTTAGTCCTTTTTATATGTCTTTTAATAATATCCCATTGTACATATTCAACAATTGACGGACATATTTCTACTGTTTTATTTATTTCCCATCAGAGGGGGATGAGAATTGGGAAAGGTAGATGATAAATGTGAGTGGTGCTGTGTTTAGACAAAAGAATGCTCCTAAGCATGAGGCAAGTTCCATTCTATCAACCAGACATAAGCTTGGCTTTCATTTTCACCTCTTGTTTAAAAACTAAGCTCTGTGACCACTCCTTGTTAGAACAACCATCAAAAGGTTGTAGTCCATCTCATCAGAGTCACAGGCAGAAATGCTTTCCTCTTCCCTGGCTTAGGATCTCTCAGCCAGCTGAGGAAATTCCCAAAAAGGTGTTTGGGAAGGCAGTCCCAAATTGTTTGGGGTTGCAAGGCTGTTTGATGATTAGATAACTGTTAACTCCAAGAATTTTCAGAAGTAAGTATAAAACTGATAAAGTATTTCAAATCCATCAAATAATATTTCTGCATACAAGAATGCATAGATAGTTAACATTTTGTTTGTCATTTAGTCACTAAGTCATGTCTGACTTGAGACTCCATGGACTGTAGCCCGCCAGTCTCCTCTGTCCATGGGATTTCCCAGGCAAGAATACTGGAGTGGGTTGCCATCTCTTTCTCCAGGGGATCACATAAGAACATATACTCTCATTCTACAGAATCATATACTCCATTTCCTAGAACTGGAGTCAGATAATTCTAAAACATGGGCAACACCCCAGTTGGAGAATTAATGCAAAGTGATAAATGTATATTCTTAGGTGTCACGGATCATTTTCAGAATATCTTAGGTGGATATAAAATAGCCTATAGAGAAAGAAAATTAAAATAAAAGGTTATGAGGTGCTACTGTAATATAATTTGCCAAAGAGATTAATTCCCAAGTCAGTATCTGGAACAATAGCATTCAGTGTGCTTACATTGAAGTGTCAACCTCAGACTCTTGAATTTC